TTTTTTAACGTATAATGTATTATTTGTTTCAGAGGTACAGGTCTGTGATTCAACAGTCTTACACAATTCACAGCGCTCACCATAGCACATACCCTTCCCAAATAGTTCAAGTTTCAGTGCAAACAGTTGCGTGAATTCACTCTTAAACTCATTACATTAGGGAATGTTAGGAAGGTTTTCTGTTGTTCTTGTTTTTAGGAAGAGGTGGGTGGGTTGGTTGAACAGAGTAAGACCTACTCCAAAGCACTCTTGAGCTCTGGCTGATTTTTTGTTCCTTTTGTCCTTAGTCTCCAGTCACGCAGATTAGGTATTTCTAGCATTATGTATACATATGGCTTTACCTTCAGTTGTGTCCAGTTACATTTACCTAATGTCAGCAAGAATTCACACTTGATATGTGAATAGCTAGATGGAGTAAAGGTCATGGCTGTATTCATCGTCACCATTTGGAGCCTCTTTGTGTTGTGATTTTTGCATAGTACTTACTCATTTTTTATTTGTGCTTCACAGGTTTGTTGTGGCCTGTTCAGCCTGGAAATCCTGTCCAGAGACTGATGCGGAAAAGCTAGTTCTGCTGGTGTTTCAGGCTTTCCATGATATGATGCAGCTGATGAACACTGCTCATCTTTAGAGACTAATCATTTATTTAGCATTTATAAAAATATTAAACTGGGTGTGGAGAGTGGGTTGGTGATGTGAGATATGAAGGAGTATTTTAAGGAAACTTGTTAAATGTAGAAATTAGTAGAATCATGCTCTCTAAATTTATTCTCACATAGGAAGATAAAAATAGGATTTTTAAGCTTCCTCTGTTGCAGTAGCAATGCAAATTGATATAATGAAATATGGAACTATGCAAAAGTTGAAGATAAGCCTCAACAATGCAAATCTACAAATTTTAATAATGCAAGTCTTACTCTTACAGTATTTTTGTTGGTTACCTATATAGGTTATAAATCCTCTCTCTGAACATCATTGTGTAGGGTCTGTCAAGCACTTTAACATTTCTAGTTGCCAAAGGGTATGGAATACATGATAAGATGTTAACTTCCCTGAAATCCTTGCCTTCCACATTCACCACAGGGATACAAGCCTACTGTGTTTGATGGGAAAGACCACTACAATTTAATGGTCATCAAAAGTAGAGCTTCTGTTGGACAGTAGAGGGAGGTTTATACTTTGAAGCACACACAGAAAAACCCTAACAAAATTCATTATAGTATATTGAACTTAGTTTTGTGAATATAAAATTAAAGCACTTATTTTTAAAATTAGAGTTGGTGACTTGAAGAAGATTGCTGAATCAAATTCTCAGGATTTTACAGGTTTTTTTCCTGCTGTTCAAAATAGAAAATAAAGTTCTCAGTCATGTAGCTTCTTATTTCGTGTTTGGATAACTAATCTACTCCTGTTTGACCTTATGCTTTCTGGTCTGTTATGTATTACTGTGTAAAAAAAAAAAACCACCCAAAACTTACTGTCTTAAATCAATTTATTATTTCTCATGATTTTATCAGTTGATTGTGGATAGTTCTTCTGGTCTTGCTGGAGTTTATTTATGCAGCTGCATTCATCAGGGTGCTGGACCGAGGCTGTAAAGTTGAAGATGCCTCCCCTGCAGCCTGAGGACTTGGTACCTGGGACTCTGTCCATGTGGTCTGATTATTCAGTATTCTAGCCTTGCCTTGGGTACTTGGCAGTGGGAGTGTTCTAAGAGAGAAAGGTAGCATCTGCAAGGCCTCTTGAGGCCTAGGCTCTGAAGTCACAGGATATTACTTAATTTGAATTTTAGTGGTGAAAAGTTGTAACAGTAGTCTAGATTCAAGGAGTGGGGGGAAAGTGTCATCTCTTGATATGAGAAAACAACAAAGTCATTTTATAAATGTAGATAAGTAGGTGCATTTACTGGGGGCCGTTTTTGTAGCAATGTTCTATATCAAGATTACAGTGTATTTACTGGTTGTATACATCCTTTAAATTTTCCTGTCTTCTGAATTTGGTAAGACTGGTTTATTGTTTCTTTGTGAAAACATTGAGTTGGCTTCTGTGGCACTTGATATATCCCTAACAGATTTCTTCTTCCCATTCTATACTGTGGACCTTTTTCCTCACTAGTACAATTTTATATACTACACTGCGATGGCTTTTAGAATCATTCGGTTGGTGGTTTTTAAAGGTCTAAAGACGGGTATTTTAGAAAGTGTTCACTTCCTGCAGAGAAACCTCTTCTGTGATACTCTAACATGTTTCCCTAACCTGCCTGAAGTTAAAAATCACCTGGAATGCTTTTTACAGAGAGATTTCTGGGCCTCTACCCAAACCTGTAGAGTTGGTTCCAGAGGCTTTTGAGTCACTGAGGTAATGTACCCCTTGTCCCATTCTTCTCTTGGTTAACATGAAATTTAGTCCACTATACACATGGTTTCGTTTGAAAGCGTCTTTGGTAAGATCTGGTTTGTTACAGATAGAGGAACTTACTAGTTTGGGTAGTTTACTGACCTAAAGAACCTGTGATAGTGGTGAGAACTGATACTGCTTCAAATGGAAACGTAACTGATACTGCTTCAAATGGAAACGTAAGGAAAAAGATTGCCGTGTGGTTAGCTTCTAAAGATGGCCTGGAATTTTTTTTTTTTTTTTTTTGGTGCTCTATCTACACATATTATGGGCAAATTAGTGATAAAAAGTAATGGAGATGCTATAGAACCTCAGCATTTCATTGTTATTGCCAATGTTTCAAATTGCAGTTGAGATAATTGAAATTTTTATTGAGTTAAAATTTTCAGAGCTATTCAATGGTATGTGGTTGGTTGGTGTGTTTTTTTCTTTTTGCTTTATGGAACAGATGTGTGTCTGTAAAGTTAGCTTATCTAAGGGCTATCTCATTTCTCTTGGACTTTGATGATAAAGCTGGGGAATACATTTATTAAAAAAAAAAAAACTCCATTCCCAAAAGAATAATTTGGAAAGTCAGCAAGGGAGAGAGTAGGCAATGGAACAATATATTTTTCCTTTGTTCTTGTGAAAATTGTTCCCCAACCATCGTGTCATCTACCCAACTATTCAGGACCGTAAGAAGTTTCCCTGGGTCTGTGATTTCTGTTAGTTCTACAAGTTTATGTATCTGAACTCTGCTTTCTCTGTATGTTTCTGGTAACTCAAGAGCTAGGCTGCTGTTTTTTATAACTCATCAAGACAGGTTACCACTTTTTACTCTTACATTTCAGATGCTATCATATCAACACCAAATGGGATGTTCTAAATTGATATGGAATAAGATATACCTGTATTTTATGATTTGTAAAAGATTTCTAGTTTAAGTCAGAAAAAGTTTTAATTTGAATTTAAGATCTAACAAGAGTTCATAAGTTCTGTGTCCCAGCCTGGACACTGACCATGGAAAAATAGATGCCTTTCTGAGCCAGCAACTGTTGATGTGTGCCATGCTCCTTGACCTTGCCATTCTGAAACACCACTATTAAGTCTGCATTCTGGATGGTGGACAGGCGGTGAGCGATCACGATGCAGGTGCGGCCTTCTCTGGCTTTGTCCAGGGCTTCTTGGACAATCTAATGGTGAATCAGAACAGAAGTCTTAAACCTTTACCATCACAGCAAAATGTTACCTTTTATTATGCATGTGTATTTTTACATAAATGGCATTATAGTCTAGTTCCTTTTTAGTCTAAAAGCGAATTCTCACACTAAATCACAAGTATTTAAATTTTCTGTCCATGAATGTATCTTACTAGTTCCCTTGTATTATTTTATCTTCTAGTTTTTCATGATTAAGGTGCTAAAAATGTGAGGTATGCAGCTTTTTTCTTTTGAATGCTTTTTTTTTGGCTTATGAAATTAAGATCATTTTACAAAATTTGGGAACTACTGGAAGGAGTAAGGTTTTTTTAACTTCAAAATATAACCAGTAAATTTCTATTTTTTTCATGACCAAAAAACTTCTATCGTACAAATTAAATGGAATGTGAGCAGAGAGGCCCCACCTTTTCACTTTCAGTATCCAGAGCTGATGTAGCTTCATCCAACAATAGGATTTGAGGTTGTCTGATGAGGGCTCGAGCAATAGCAATCCTCTGTTTTTGACCTCCTGAGAGCTGAGTTCCCTTATCTCCCACTCTTGTTTCATATTTCTGCAAGTTAGCCATTAGTAAAGTTAATCAAGTCCTAACCCAAAAAATTACTAATGATATACTGCATAAACTTGTACATAATATTTGATAGTTCTACTTACACAGGAAAACACATTTATAAACAAAAGTTGCTATAACAGCTACATAGTGATCCATTTAGTATTTTTCCCACTTAAGAGAATATTCATTTTCAGAGTCAAACTAGAAAACTAGTTACTTTAGTTCTTAGTGGTATTCTGCAACAGAAACTTGAGCACTGAATTCCTACCATTCTCATAATGCCAATTGATCTTATGTGTTTGGAGTCCTAAAAAGATTAAATAGAAATATTTAACGTGAAATATTCATATGACCCACATGGAGCCTAGTTTATTCTCTTACACCAAAAACTTCGAGAAATACAAAAATTCCTACCCTGAAGGAATTTATAATGCGATGAGAAAAACTGGGTGTACAGCATTCAGTATAAAGTCCAGTATGTACCAAATGAGAGGTATATGCAACATGCTATGAAAGATCAGAAGAAGCGAATAAAAATTATGGAGATAAGGTAGGAACAGAAAGGAGAGATGCATGAAGGAAAGATAGCTTTGTACGTAAGTTGGGATGCTGGATCATGAGAAAGAACATTCTAGGCTGAAAAAGTATAGAATGAATAAAGAGCCAAAGAAGTACTGCAGCGCTTATGTAGTAACGTGAATTAATTTCCTGAAGTCCAGTATCAGCAAAGTTTTTCTATTAATCAAATCCTATACTTGAAGTCAGTGACTACCTGTTAAGGGTAAGGCTAACTAACATGGAGGGGGGTTTGAATGGTTTGTTCTTCATTGAAGATTTATTTCTTTGAGAGAGAGCGCGCACAAGCAGGAGGGGCAGAGGGAGAGGAACAGAGAGAATCTCAAGCAGGCTCTGCACGGAGCAGGGAGCCCAACATGGAGCTCCATCCCACAACCCTGAGATCATGACCTGAGCAGAAACCAAGAGTTGGATGCTTAACTGACTGCGCCACCCTCGTGTCCCTAGGGTTTGAAAGTTTTTAAGTGTGATTGCTCATTACAGCAGAATACGAAGCTAGATCAATACCACAAGATTAATGATCCCTGCCATCACTTTTAGTGGCTTCAAATCCTCTTTGCAGGAGTACTCACCTTTACCCATTCCTGAAGAAAATTGTTTCACTGAACTTTTCCTTATTTTTCAAATCCATATTGACGTCACTGCACTTTGGCTACAGACCTAGCAGCTATAACAAGCTAACGGGAGCGTTGGGGACCGTAACGGGAGAGTATATGTCCTCTCCAGAGGAATAACATGGAACATGAAAGAAAAACCTTATACAGAAATGAACTTAGAATGGATCATGGACTACAATGTAAAATCAAAAACTTAAAGAAAAAAAAAATGGAGAAATTCTTTAGGACCTAGAAGGCCTAGGCTAGGCAGGAGTTCTTATATTTGATACCAAAAGCACAATCGCAAAAGGAAAAATTAATATATTGGACCTTATCAAAATTAAAAAGTTTGGCTCTGCATATGACCCTGTTAAAGGATGAAAAAAACAAGCTATCGACTGGGACAAAGTATTTATAAACTATATATCTGACAAAGGACAGATACATATAAATTTCTCTCAAAACTCAACATTTAAAGAAAATTAGAAAATGGGCAAAAAAACAAGGCATTTCACCCAAAAGGAAATACACGTGGCAAGTTATAAAAAGATGTCCCGGAGCTCCTGGGTGGCTCAGTCAGTTAAATGTCTGAGTCTGGATTTCGGCTCAGATTGTGATCTCAGGGGCATAAGATTGATCCCTGCATCCGACTCCACGCAGGACATGGATGCTACTTAAAATTCTTTCTCCCTCTGCCCCTCCCCGCGCTAATAAAAAAAATAAAGTCAACATCATTTGCTATTAGGAAATCCACCACAATGAGCTTTACTGCAATCTATCAGAATTACAACAGCAAATGCTGGGAAAGAGGCAGAGAAAATTTCATTCCTACTTACTGGTAGGAAGGTAACATGGCACAGCCACTCTGGAAACCAGGTTGGCAGTTTCTTAGAAAGCTAACCATGCAATTACCATATGGCCAGCAATTGAACTTTGGGCATTTATCCCAGAGAAATAACAACTCAGGTTCACACTAAAACCTGTACACAAGTATTTACAGCGGCTTTACTTTGACTAGCCAGAACCTAGAAACCACCTAGATACATTTCAACAGGTGAATGGTTAACCAAACTGTGGTACAATCCATATCTATCCTACAATCCTAATCATCCTACTAAAAAGAATGCCACTGAAGAAGTAAAGAATGTACTACAGATACAAGAACTTCAGGGAATTACGCTGAGTGGAAAAAGCTAACCTCAAAAGGTTATATATTGTATGTGTGCTTAATGACATTCTTAAAGTAAAAAATTACTGAAATGGAGAACAGTTAGTGGTTGCCAGAGGTTGGGTGGTGTGAGGACAAAAGGGAAGGGGGGGGTTGTGACTCTAACAGGGCATCATGAGGGATCGGAGTGGTGATGGAAATGTTCTCTATTTTTTTTAATAAGAATTATATTTATTTACAGTGAGCTTGGTAAGTGCTAAGTAAATTCCATCTCATAAGCTCATAGACTAACCCAAAGAACAACCTTGTGTAGAGGACCTGATGGGAGATATTTTTATTGCCTTGGAGAAACACTCAGAATACAACCTTGGGAGTATTAATCAGATTGTTCTAAATTCCAATAAGGCAGCAGTGGTCTATCACAATTGTTTACACCATTGCAAGATGGGGCCTGGCACAGAGTCAGCATTCAGTGTATTGGATGGATGGTTTAATTTTACTTTTGCACTGCTAACGAAGAAATGTTCTGTATCGCGACCGGAGGTGGATACGTGAGTCTACACATGCAATAACACTGCACTGAACTAAATACAGATGCAAATGATTACAAGGAAAACTGGAGGTCCGAATAAGATCAGTGGATTAGATCAATATCAATATCCTGGTGGGGATACTGTATTACAGTTTGACAAGATGTCACTGGAGGAAACTAGGTAAAGAGTACATAAAATCTCTGTTCCTTACAACTGCATGTGAATGTATATCTCAAAATAAAAATAATTAAAAATCCAAGTACTATAAGGGATAGATCAAACACGACTGCTATCTGAATGCAGCCCACAACCACCAGTTTGCAACCAGAGATATGGTGCCTACAATCAATACCACTTCATTTGCCTCTCACTACATTTATCAGATCTAGACCCGACACCTGATAATCTCATTTGCCAATAAGGAAACTTGCTATCTGCCGTTCAGTGTGTTGTTCAAGGCCCTAGTGCTACTACATAGGAAAGTTTTCTTGTAAGATTTTGTTTGTGTATAACTTCGGGAACGGTTTTCAGAATGAAAAGAGTTTGTAGTTCATTGTGATTTCATCCTAAGAAATTACCAGTTAACTTACATGGGGTAAGGTCTCAATGAAGGGATGTATGTTGGCTGCTTTGGCTGCATTCACAATTTCATCCTGTGATACAGCCCGACTGTTGTCTCCGTAGGCAATATTCTCAGCAATGCTGCAGTCAAACAGGACGGGCTCCTGGGACACAATTCCAAGGTGGGCTCTGAGCCACTGGATGTTAAGTTTCTTTGCTTCTTGACCATCTAGGAGCTGAAAACCAAAGTCCACAAACTATAAGAAGGGCTTAAAAAGAGAAAAAAAAAAAACCCTAAATCATAAATTAACAGATTAACCATTTGGAGGATCGTGACATGTGGGCATCATTGGTTTGGGAAATACCAAGGCTCACAGCCTCTAAGCACTTACAGTGCTGGAGGCCAAAAAAATGATTTTTATAGTGATTAAGCCATCCTTTCTTCATCTCACTGGTGAAATGATAGCGCATTTGGCCCTGTCTTTCCACATTCTTCTTTGTCCTTATTTACCCTCCGCCAGGTAATTATACCATCTTGCCTCTAAGTCTGCAATTAGGTGTCCTACTCGTATCTGCTGTTCCCAGAATGACTCCAACATTTCAACTTGACTTTATTCCCCACCTCCAGGCAGCCAGATAAAAAAGCTCATCAGTAGTATCGCCCCAGATTCTCCAAGCTGGTTACTTCCAACCCTACCTCTACCACTCTTTCCCCTGAGAAATACCAGCCTTAAGCGTCTCCCATTTCTCTTTTTGACAGCACTGAGGACAAGAATTCAATGGAAAGTGAACAAGCTCAAAGGACAGTGTCTTTGGGAACAGTTTTGGTGGTGGTGGTTTTATTTTTTTTGTTTGCTTTAAGCAGGAGACATGTTGCTTCTAGAGGAGTCTTGTGATGTATCAACTGAGAATGCAGCTTCCTTCTGGGTGAAGGAATAAAAACAAGTTCGATTAGTCTTGATCTCTCAATAAAGAAAGAAATTCTACCATGGTATCAGCACATTGTGTTGTCAAGCTGGTTTGCCTATATTAATACCTGCAGAGTAGTTTTAATAATGGAAGCATATGATTTCCTGAAAAGAGCAAACTACACAAGGTTTAACACTTGGTGACCATCTAAATGGGGATGGACTCCGAGGGCTTGGTCAGTGGGTGCCATCCCAAGGTAATGGGAGATGCAGGTATTATCAGTAAAAGCCAAGAGTTCACTCATGGCAGAGAGCCAGAATCTAGGTACTAGAAAATCACTGATGAAAGCTAAGTATGAAAGGGCTGGAGATGAGGGTCAAAGTCAAAAAGCCTTGAGTTCCGTGTTTGAGAGATAGGGCAGAAGGAGGTAGGAGGGAGTAAGAAGGTACTAGCCTGTCTTGGGTGTCTGCCTAGAATTCTGGCCAGAGTTTGTGGCTCACCTTTACAAACCAGGAAGTGAATATTTAGGAGGATCAGGTTGGCTCAAAAGGCCCAGGGCAGGGCAGAGTTTAGCTTCATATTTGGTATTTTCGGAACTATACTAAACTCCAGATGCTCTACCTTCTTGTCCCCATAAATTTGCCTGAGTATGGGTACCAGTTTGGTTTTTTTTTTTAAGAATGTGGTCATTGCATCAACTAGGATTATAGGCCTTTATTTGTCCAGTTTTTTTCCTCTTAGAAGAATATTGGTTTATTAGCCATTTGAAATAAAACTTTATATCAGGTGACTAACTTAAAGCGTGCTCACCACAGTACCAGCCACTGGGTCATAGAACCGCTCCAGGAGCTGGACCACCGTGCTCTTCCCACAGCCGCTGCTACCCACCAGAGCCAGCGTCTGGCCCTTCTTCACCTCGAGGCTCAGCCCCTGAAGCACGGGGACGTCTGGCCGAGTGGGATAGTTGAACACGACTTCATTAAATGTCACGTTTCCTTCAAATTTATCCTACAACAAAGTTTAATGTTGCTATTATGATTAGTCTGATAATTATTGGAATAAGAAGGATTTCACAGAAACTTGACCAAATACTGTAGGAGTAGAACATAAAATTCACATTCAGTCTAAGTGTCGGCACGAGTTACTACTGAAAGCAAGCTGTTGTTATATAAAATGAAGATGGGAGATGGGGGTAAAATTTAGACCAGACAGAGTCACATTACAGAGAGTTGTTATCCAAACTCAATTTCCGGTCTTTTAGACAAATATTTAGATTTCCCAAGTGATGGTTATGAGGCTAGAGTGAAGCTAGAGGCCCAAGGCTCAAAGGCTTGGGAATCTGGTGCAGCGTCTACCTGAGGTCTCAGTGGACAGCCCTTATCTCAAACCCTGGCCACTTCTTTAGCTCATTCACAGGGCACAGGAATTTTCTCAGCACATGAAATCCATGATAAAGTCCCAGAAAACTGTCTACGTATACCGCGGCTCATGCATTAATACGGGCAGCAGCTTGTGTCATACAAAGTACGCTCAGATCTAAATTTGAGTTAACTTTGGAGATAGTATAGGATTATTACTCTTAATGTGAATAAAGTAGCTTTCTTACCATTTATAACTTGGTCATTAAAAAATGTGATTAAAGCCACATTGCTATTTGCCTTTACATACAGAGTGACATGCATATGCCTTCATGCAGCAATAATTAACATTTTTCATGGAAATTACTCAGTTCTAGTACATCTGGATTTTTTTTTTTAACTTTTCTTGAAGTTTATTATTACGGGGGTGCCTGGGTGGCTCAGTTGTTAAGCATCTGCCTTCAGCTCAGGTCGTGGTCCCAGGGTCCTGGGATCGAGCCCCGTGTCGGGCTCCCTGCTCAACGGGGAGCCTGCTTCTCCCTCTCCCTCTGCCTGCCACTCCCCCTGCTTGTGCTCTCTGTCAAATAAATAAAATCTTTTAAAAAAGTTTATTATTATGATTTTCATTCAATACAGGTGGTTTTAGTTTTAAATTAAAAAAAAAATTTAAGTAATAAACTTTATGCCCAACGTGGGGCTTGAACTCATGACCCAAGATCAAGAGTCACATGTTCAACTGACTGAGCCAGCCACATACCTCCTTCTTTACTTTTGATGTGCTCAACTTCAGAATCCTTGAAACCCCCCATGATATTTTATTTAAGATTTATTTATTTATATTTATATTTATTTATTTAATTAATTTATTTATTTGACAGAGAGAAAGCACAAGCCAGGGGAGCAGGAGAGGGAGAAGCAGACTCCTTGTTGAGCAGGGAGCCTGACTCGGGGCTTGATCCTGGGGCTCCGGGATCATGACCTGAGCCAAAGGCAGACGCTTAACCCCCTGAGCTACCCAGGTGTCCCCCCCCCCAGCCCCCGTATGAAATTTTAAAATGTTAAGAACGTTGGCCAAATATTAGGCCTATAAATATCACAGAATAAGCTAAATATAGGTTAGTGTAATCATGACAAATTTTTCCTGTGGTGATCATGTAGCAGACAGCAAACCTTGAGGAAAAATTAACCAAGCATTCATGAGGCGGCAGAGAACTCACAGGCCTCAGGCCTTCTTCACTGTAGCTGTCAATCAGAGGCGGTCTCTCCAGCAGCATGAATAAGTGGGCTGCCGACAGCTTGGCTTTAGCATAGTCTGGAGCAAAGGAGCTGGCGTGTCCTAGAGCCACTGCGCCCAACACAATTGCTGAGAACACCCTGGACAGAAGTAGAGGAATTAACAACTTAGCTTCTATAATTAGCTCTGTGAGTTCCAAAGTCCAAATACGAACCGCTTACCAGTGTCCATGTTCTCTACTCCCACAGGCACCCCTCCACCGACCCCCTGCTAAAACCACTACACACATTTCCATGAAATCCCATTAACCAAAGAAACCTAGAGGAGAGGCCAGAGTTCCCGTAACTTTCCACATTTCTTCTCTTTCGCGAGGTGGCTGGTAACTGACTTGTGACCTCCAGCAATTTTAGTGACTGGTTCTATCCTCTCTGGACTTGAGGGGACTGAAGCACAGAGTGCTGGAGGGCCCTCGTCAGTGTCCGACAAGGAGTGACGCTTCCTACTGCATCGCTGGCCCTGACTGCCCGTCCGTAGTTTCTTCTGTGTTCCCACACACCCAGTACCGCGCGCTGCAGTTACAGAAACTGCTTAGGGAAAAGGCGCCTTTACTTGTTTTTCCCTTACGATTACGGGAACGATTGGCGCTACCCTGAGAAAAACATTCGTCCTCAGCTAAAGTTCTGTTTTCCAGTGATATGCTCTTTGAAGACTGGAAAGAGATTGTAACATCTTTTAGGAAGGGCTTCAGATTCTGAGATCTACATCTCCAGGAGGCTATTTACTCCTGACACCTGAGCTCTCCGAGAACAAGGGGAGGGGAGGAAATTTTTTATCTAGTTAATACTGGAGAACTTAAAGAAATGTTTCATTTCCCAAACTTCTAAATCTAAGATATTAAAATGTGTTTTAAGTATGGGGGGAGGGGGGCAGGAATGATGGGTATAGTAAGGCTCTCCCTTAAATACTTGGTTAAGGTTGGTTACCAAAAATTAAATTTTAAAATAGTGATGAACAACCCAGATGTTGCTGCCTAACTTTCTTATATAGCCTATCATCGAGATTTAACATAAAAGACTAAAAAGATACCTTCCAATTATCTAGAACTTAATTTTTTAATGGTAGAAATAAAACCCAAAAAAAGCAGGGTCCATTTCCTCAGTGATGCTCTTCTAGACAATAAAAGTACTCTAAGTTGTAATGCCCAGAGCCAGATTTTGCCATTTATCCCTCCGAAACCACTCTCTGCTCCCTACCCACCTCTGTCTTGTCCCATCCCACTCCCTGCCTGAGAGGCTGACCTTCCTGGACTGCATCAAAAAGTTTTTCTTGTCCCCTGGCTTCTGAAGGGGTTTGGCAATGATAGGCACTAGCAGGAGGTGAGGGCATTTGTTGGCTTCTTTCTTGTTAGATTGTGTGGTTGGTGTCCTTCCCCCAAGGACCACAGAAGCCCCCTATGCTGGGTTCTGAAAATCCTTCCTTCCTCTTGCCCTTTAGGCTGAGGGTCTTAGCGGTTCGTAGCTGGGAACTGCTTGGTAGTTGACAGCTCTCCTGGGTACTGCTCACCTTAACACTTCTCACACTTTTGTAAACAGACCCTTTAGCACTCTCCTTAGTTACCCCATCTGAAGGGATATTTGTTTCCTGCTGGGATACTGAATGATATAAAGATTATATATACTTTTTCCACAGTTATTTTCATTTTGGATGAAAACACTTTCCTTGTCCTCCCCCTGTTCAAAAAAGAGGCTGTCCACGACTACTAAAATCATTCCACCAGAGCAGAAATATGCCAAGCGGTCTTAAAAAGAATGGCTTCCCTTCGGCAAGACAAAAACACAACCTAATTGAATGTAGTTAACATATTTTGAAAAGACGAATGCATCAATTAGACTGCTGGTTAGCCTTGGAAGCCAAGAAAAAAGGAGAGGCTACTAAGGCCAAACGTTGGCAGGGTCATCTCAGGACCAGTCAGGGCAAGAGGCCTTTGCCAGAGTTCAGTCAAGCATTCCCATCCCTTTATCAACGCCATCTTGTGGTTGCAGATCAACAGTATATTTAACCCTCTGGTTTGAGTCCAAGGTAACAAGCAGTTCTCTCATTATGATTTATTTCAGCCTACACTGTACAGTGAGAAAGTTTGCTATCCTCCTGACTGGAGTTCTATGCATTACTACAATTCTGGTTTATGATCTTTTTTATGAACTTGGTTAATTTTAGTCCACTTGGATGATTCAACTGTACTTGTAGTATTATTAAGATCAAATTTCTGTGGTAGGTTCAACTCTGACCTCATTTTAGAACAATTGAGTCCCCCCCCACTCTCCAATTTTGCACAGACCTACTAAAACCACATAGAATCTTTTATTTTTAAAGTTACTTACAGAATAACATCTCTAAAGCGCATATGTCCATTCACAATGAGATAGGCGCCAAATCGAAAACAACCAGCATAGGAAAAATACATAAATGCTTGTGAAATACTAAAAGTGATTCCATAGATGTGTGCCTTCTGCACAGAATTCCTGAAAGGCAAATTAGCATATTCATAATCATCTCTTTGGCCTCTCTTAGCACAGCTGCTAAGTGTGGTGGACCTGGGTATATATTCTGCCTCCCCTTCTGTTAGTTTGAGTACATGACAACTTCTCTATGTATCAGTTTTCTGATTTATATAATGGGGATAAACAATATGATGCAGAATTGAGAACTAAAGAAACAATATAAATGTCTAGCATAGTACCTCATATTGATTTTTCAATTGATAGTTGCTGATATTATTACATTAATATCTAGTCAATCAGAAATTCAACCCCTATGATATAAGACTGTTGAATAAAAAAATATGGAGGCTGTCAAAGTGAGGACTAAAGTTTGAATTGTCTGAATGCGATTTCTTAGGTATTATCTTGTCTTCTGTGACTAGTTATAGTCTCATGTCACAATTTAGGTTTCAGATTCAGAAAAGCAGGCTCACTGAGGTACATACAGACATGCATGAGAAGTTCTTCCCTGAGCTAGATCCCACCAGTCCCAATACAGTTCGTTTTGCACTATTTTCTAATTAGACCACATGCTATCCTTTATTAGTATAGCTACTTTATTATACTTTGTATTGTACATCCTCCAAGAGAACAGTGATTTATTTACTCCCAGATTAGAAGGAAGGCATTTGGAAAGACTTTGGAAAAATTCAAACTATTACTGATTTGTATATTTTAATTTACATGCTGTGAGAATGGTCTTACATTACTTAAAATTATTAATTTGCAGTACTCTTCCATCTTTGAATTATAATCAAATTAAAAATTAGCTCTTAAGTCCCTTGAAGTTCAAATTAACCATAAGTCTTAGGTAATGGCACATATATATTTACATGTTACATATATACTTACATCAAATGGAGAGAAAAATGTACTTTCATGAAGTATATGTAACTAAGGAGATGGAATAAAATGAAAATCTCACTTTTCCCTTCTCAAATTTGTAAGCATTCAAGCTACTGTTCTAGTCTGCAAAGTTGTAGTCTAAGTGGTGTTCAGTTTTGTTAGTGTTAAAATATATTCATTTATAAGAACAGGCCCTGGTTGGAAGCAAGTAGCCAATCATGCTGCTGGGAGTTTCTTAAATTGCTCAATTATGAACCAGTGAAATAGACTAGGCCTGGGTTTCATGAGGAGGTTGGATCTGGTCCTCATCCAGAGAAAAAATGGGATACTCTAGCCAAATACTAAGTCTCATCCTTAGTTCAGTCTACACAATTCCAAGAAAATGCGAGTTTGAAGAATTCCCTGCAACACTTCTCCATCGCCCAGAGAGGTTGTTGACACTGCCTGCACCGAGGAGCACACACTGGCACAGTCTTCTGTAGCTGTTCAGTCTTGGAGACCCCCTCTGTTCACAAGAGATGTAAAAATCTCCGGGGAGGAAAAGATGGCAGAGGAGTAGGGGACCTTATTCCAACCAGTCCCCGGAATTGAGCTGGATATCTACCAGACCACTCTGAACACCCACGAAATCAGCCTGTGATGTAAGAAGATAGATCTGGATCTCTAGAGAGTATCGCAGTTGGCTGGTTTCGAGCTATGAAGTGGGGAGCCATGATTCTGTCGGCAGATATTGGAAGATAAACGAAAGGGGGAGGGAGCTGTGGTGATCCTACACCACTGGTGAACACTAGCCTCCCGCGATGGGGACGGGGCACAGACTCACAGACCAGCAGCAACAGGGAAAGGACTTTAAGGCAGCCCCCCGGACTGAAACCTGGAGCAGCAGGGCCATGCGAGCGAACTGGGGGCGGCTGGCAGTTTTAAAAGTACAAAGGTTAGAGACGTGCCCCGACCTGGAGGCGAGGACTGGGAGCACTGCTGAGGGGCGCACAACCAGGACACTGCAGTTTATAGCAGCACAGACAGAAGCGAAGGGAATGTGGCTTGGAGAGCTCACTGAAGAACAGACTCCGATCTCTCTGCCCTGAGGCAGAGGGTTGGAAATGATCTCTTCTGCTCTGACTCTCAGAAGAGATGTGGAAAGCCACCAGAGAAAGCCGCCAGAGAACAAAAGCCCCCAAAAAACCGGTTTTCACTGAGCTCCCCCACCCCGCCACAAGGGGCAGGGCAACTCTGCCCAAACAGGGTTGCCTGAGTAACAGCATGGCAGGCCCCTCCCCCAGAAGACAGGCTAGGAGAACAAGAGGCCAACCACCCTAAGGTCCCTATAAAACAGGTGCATCTTGCTTGGGTTGTGGTCAATAATTTGGACTCTGTACATTCCCTCAACCACCCCGCAACAGAATGACTAGGAGGAGGAACCCCCAAAATAGGAAAGACTCAGAGACTATGACTTCTGCCACAGATTTACAATGGATACAGATATAACCAAGATGTCGAAAATGGAATTCAGGGTAGCAGTTGTGAAGACAATAACTAGAATGGAGAAATCGATTAACAGCAACATAGAGTTTCTAAGGGCAGAAATGAAAGCTGAACTGGCAGAACTTAAAAATGCTATCAATGAGATCCAATCTAATCTAGATAATCTAACAGCTAGGGTAAATGGGGCAGAAGAACGAATTAGTGATCTAGAAGACCAATTGATAGAAAAGAAGGATAAAGAGGAGGCCAGGGAGAAACAACACAAAATCCATGAAAATAGACTCAGAGAAATAAGTGACACCATGAAACATTCCAATGTCAGAATTATTGGGATCCCTGAGGGGGTGGAGAGAGAGAGAGGACTAGAAGATATATTTGAGCAAATCGTAGCTGAGAACTTCCCTAATCTGGGGAATGAAACAAACATTTGTGTCTTAGAGGCAGAGAGGACCGCTCCCAAAATCAAGGAAAACA